ATCCTTCAATCAAATTCACAATGGAAGTTGAAAATGAATCAAAGATGCCATTCCTGGACGTCGAATTAACAAGAAGAGATTACGGAACTCTGAAAATATCTATCCATAGAAAACCAACATGGAATGGTCAACTGACACACTTCTACAGTTGGATACCTATCAGTCGTAAAAGAGCTCTCATCATCCCGCTAGCCCACCGTACCAGAAGAATTTGTAGCGATGACTATTTAGAAGAAGAGCTCCTATTTCTCAAAAGCATCCTGGTTCAAAATGGGATACCCACCGCGTTTCGTGGAGAAGAACATGAAACCAGGACCAGAAAGAGAAGAATACAGTGCCAATTCAGTGCAAAAGAAGACTCTCGATTAGAGTCCGTGATATGCATCCACATATATATATATATATATATATATATATATATATATATATATATATATATATATATATATATATATATATTTATGTGTGTGTATGTTGGTCTCTCTTTCTGTTTACTCGCTTAGTCTGTGACCATTTCACTTGTATGAACTTGTTGTCTCCATAACAATAATTTAGCGACGAGTCCATAACAATTTGGCGACGGGGAAAACTACTATTAACCACTCAGCAGCAGCAACATAACAATTTACGATGGATCCTTCTAAATTGGAATTATTGTTTGAACGACAAATGAAATTAATGGAAATGTTCGTCAACCAACAGACTGGTCCAGCTTCACCTTCAAGGAATCCCAATCATACCATGCTACCATCTGTCGACGGCATTGTGAACAGTATTTCACAGTTCAATTATGACCCTGAGGCTAATATCACTTTTGACACATGGTATCAACGTTATGAGGATTTATTCACTGTTGATCTCGCCTCACAAGACGATGTCTGGAAGGTGCGAGTGTTGTTACGTAGATTGGGTCCCGCAGAATATGAACGGTACTGCAACCTAATTTTACCCCAGAAACCACGTGACAAGTGTTTCGATGATACAATAAAGCTGCTGCGTGAACATTTTGGAGACCACTCCTCATTATTCAGCATACGTTATCGTTGCCTCAAGCTGACAATGAATGAAAATGATGATTTTCTTACTCACGTTGGCACAGTCAACCGAGAATATGAGAGATTTCGACTCAGTTCCTTAACAGATGATAACTTCAAAGCCTTGATTCTCATATGCAGTCTTCAATCTCCTCGTTTCACAGATATCCGAACTCGACTGCTCACTCAGCTAGAGCAAAATCCTAAGTTAACTCTATATGACATAGCTGATGAATATCAACGGCTGATTAATTTGCAGAAAGACACACACCTGGTCGAATCAACACCTTCGAGAAGCTCAGATATTCATGCATTACGAAAGAGCAAAAATCTCTCATCATCTACTCCTGACCTACCTACTTCTTCTAATGTTCCAAGGAAATCTACACATACTCGTCCAACTTCACAAAATACTGCAAAGAAGACCCCTCCATCACCATGCTGGCACTGTGGCGCTTTGTAAAGTCTTGTCCGTACAAAAATCATCGTTGCAGCAAGTGCAACATCGTCGGTCATAAAAATGGTTTTTGTCAGCCAGGCAAACCCAGATGTCAAAATCCAGCAAAAGCTCGACAAACGGTTGGTCCTAAATCTCCAAAAAGATCATTGAGTCTACTCGCAACCTGTCAAGTCATAACTCCATGTATGCGGAAATATCTTGACCTTCAGATGAATGGTCATGATGCACGTCTGCAGCTAGATACCGCCTCTGATATTACTGTTATCTCAGAGAAAATTTGGAATAATATTGGCAGACCACCAATCGCAAATCTTCTCAGACTGCTCTCAGCGCCTGTGGTGGGCGGCTCAAACTAATGGGTGAACTCAAATGTTCCGTGTCCTTCCGCAATACCAAATTCACAGGAATTCGCTACGTCACCAAGAGTGATTTAAATCTTTTGGGACTTGATTGGTTCGATCGTTTGCATCTGGCTGATGTCCCACTAAATTCGCTATGCAATGCAGTCAAGAAGCATAAAATGTCAGACAATTCCGGACGAAGCCGAAGCCGCAAACCCAACAGGCAGACGAAACGACAGACGTCAACAACAAGCTCAAAGGTTCCAGATAAACCCCCAGGTAAACATCCTACTAATCATCAATCTTCTCAAAAGGGGAGGTGATATGTATCCACATATATATATTTATGTGTGTGTATGTATGTTGGTCTCTCTTTCTGTTTGCTCGCTTAGTCTGTGACCATTTCACTTGTATGAACTTGTTGTCTCCATAACAATAATTTAGCGACGAGTCCATAACAGTCCGGAATTCAGGGGAGACCTAGCAGCAGATATCCTTAAAAGGAGAATCTCGAATTCCATGAAGAAGACTTTTCCGGCAGCAGCTCTAAGAGTGATATTCTCTAGCCATCCACTACTTCGGAGCAATGGGAAAGACAGACTTCCACATATGGCCACTTTAATGTACATATATCAGTTCACCTGCTCTTGCGGAGCTAGGTACATAGGTCGTTCTATGCGGGCCTTATCAAAATATGTTAAAGAACATCATCCATCATGGCTGCAAAGAGGAGGCACTGGTTCAATCAGAAGCGCAATAACTGAACATCTCGTCAATACCTGTCACAGAATCTCAACTGACTCATCATTTAGAGTCATTTACAGAGTAAACAAAAATCTACCAAAGGTACTGTGTCTCCGACTTCTTTGTACTGCGGAAGCTCTTGCCATATGCATCGAAAAGCCGGAGCTATGTGTTCAAAAGAAACTATAGTTCAGCCTTTACAACTACCATGGACCTAGTTCGGTATGTTCCCTTATCCTTCAGTTTTTTTTGTTATCTGTGTGTGTAATTTTCTCTCTTTGCCTTCAATCCATCCAGCCTCCAAAGCCTCAGGATGGTCGGGGGTGGGTGCCTTGCGCTGCGGGTTGGCCACCCCTCCGCACACCTCTTGAAATGCTCCCATATGACCGGGCGTCTTACATAGCCTCTCCTGAGGAAGTCCTACTCACTGCCTTCACGTGGCGGAGGTGTTTCTCACCAAAGTAAGAGGGCGAAAGCGGATGCCCGGCGCTCTCCACCGGGTTGACTGTCCATTGGATGACGGTCTAGGGGAGATGGCTAAACCCTGATTCCAAACCTCCAACGACTGGCGTATGAAGCTCACTGGAGCTCACCGGCAGACGTATGGACAAAGGGCTTGTTGGATGTCCTGGATGTCTGGCCCCATTCAAAAAGGCGTATGAACCGAACTCCGGTCACCGGCTGCCAATGGATAGTGGACTCCTTACTCCACTCCTACTGCCTTGTAGGTCACACTTGGCTGTGTAAAGGCTAGAGCTGCACTCTCAAACAAAAGGCCGAGCGATGCTGGGGACATCACTCGTACCAAATTCCCATGAAACTTCATGAACTCTCTTACAAATTGCCGCGCCTGGGCAGCGATGATTCGAGACGTTCATGAAGCCGGCTCATCCTCCCGTAGGAGATAGCCGAAGTAAAGTAAAGTAAGTAAAGTAATCCATCCATCCTATTTTTTCAGTTATAAAATCAGTTATTTTAAGTTTGTTTCCATGTTCCTCCTGATCACACTTGCAATCCGTTTAGAATAACCGTTTTACAATTATACTCCAATCCTGTGTAATTTTTTGTTTCTATGCCTCTTGTAACCTATATTCACACCTAACTTACATTTCAAGTTGAAAATTTTGATTTCAATTTGTTTCCTTGCTCATTTTGTTCACGCCTGTAATTCGTTCTATCCCTGTCTCTAAGCCTCTTGTAATTTTTATCAAGTTGAAAATAATTATCAGCTATTTGACCTGAAATTATTTCTTCAGTTATCAAATATTAATTTTGCTTACGTTGTAACTGTTTTCTAAGCCTATGCAATCTTGTCTCTAAGCCCCTTGTAATCTATATTCGTACCTTCAAACTTTCATATCAAGTTGAAAATTATTATCACCTTCGTTACTATGTGGAATTAAACAAATAATAATTGTATCTATGTAAACTGATCTACATAAATGCGATTGTACAGCTTTTGAGAATGAAATCACCGAAAAGATATCTTTGCTGAACTTCGTGTTCCTTTCAGTCTGATGTTCCATTAGGGTTGTTTGAAATTTCCAAATTAGGAAATCAGACATTGCATTAAAATTACTTCTTTTCTACTCATAAACTAAAGTTTGGGTCAGATTTGTCACACATCATCTTCCATTCGACATACGTACTTAATTTTTGCCCAGATTGTTTAGTATGTCGCATTGTGCCAGTGTCTAACTTCTGAAACAACGGGATCATATGCTCACTCGGGATCGTTTGACCACCAGGTTTCCAGAGCTTGTCACGCAAATTGGTTGCACACTTCACATTCTAAGTTGTGGTCGTACATGGTCACATTCACTGAGATTAATAGGTGTATCTCATTAGAACGCCGATATTGACGATTCCTACGTATTAACCAACATATTAGCGTTGAGAGTTCCCGAATCAAGGTAAGTGGCAAACATTTTCGTTACAATTTTTTTGAAATTACGATCAGCTTATTAAGAATGTCTTCGGGAATATGTCAGAGAAGGTGAATGTTCCTAAGTGGACGGGAGATTAACAAAGACATTGAGCATAGACCATCGATATCACCGAAAAACGGAACGGTATTTAAAACTAAGACCGAAATTTTTAACTCTGCGGGAGAACAGGTGATTACTTTTGATTTTTCATTCGCTATAGATACGCAGAATGACTTTATTCTATGAGTTGCGTCAGATAAAATCCAATTTGACTTCCTAGTGAGAAAGCAAGCAGACAAATTTCAGACTTTATACGTTGAAGCTGTAAGCTTCCCTATCAATGTTTCTAAGATGTGTTTAATTATTCAGCAGCTGTAGACCAATTGAAAAATCTCGATTTTGTTCAACCAGTAGTTTCTTATATTATATTTTATTAATATTAAACTTAAAATATTTGGTTTATTAGAATCTTTTCAATCTGACTACTATCCAGTACCAGACAAGACCGAATGTCTAACCATCAACTCTCCAATACAGAGTGAAGCAAAAGTGTTATCTAGTAGCAGATCAGGCGGACAGAGAACTGTCTCAACAGACTCTGGCATCAGTTCACCCGTTTCGAAGAATATAATCAGAAGATGTGGGTCCACGGAGGCTAGTGCACCTGGATTTCTTGTGGATAACTGCAACGACTCGATGTCAACATCAACATCTACATCACATTCTCGCACTTCAACTACTTACAGTCACTACAAACGATCTGTTTTACTACGAGCCAGACGACAAGCGGATAACCTCCGCTTTAGATTTCTCAAGGAACGTCGTACAGCAACTAGGAGCAGTTATTGTGTTGGGTCACTTCTGTCTGCAGGACTGCGGTTTTTATAGATACTGTACATAGTTTTTATGCTTTCCTTGAATATAATGTACATAGTCTACGTACAAGTGTTCTTTTAATTTTCTGCATTGACTCTGCGGTCGACAGCCCTCATATACATATGATGGAGATATATTTGATCTGAGGTAGAAAGTCCACGTATTTATAGAGTGAGTTTAGACTAATATGTCTGAAATTTGAACCATTTGGGAGAAAGCATCCTGTATACTATTAACTAGTGAGATCAGTATAGAGTTTATTGACTATCTGTCCCAGTGTCAGGCTTCAGTCGACCGGCTTTTTGGAATTTGGGTGTTGACCAGTGGTAGTTAGGAGTTGCTAAGACTTGTGTCAGTTCATGTCACTACGTAGCATTACCACTATATGACTCAATGGAGTCACCTTGGCACAGCCATTAGAACTATCGGGAACTAAATAGAGGCTGGCGAAATCTGTCATTTTACTGTTCCAGTGATTCTGTTTAAATCACTAACTGCTATTAGAAAATAAAATCAGCAGCTACTCTGTGTAGGATCCAAAGTAAAAACACGAGTTTTTGCCTCGCTTGTCGCTGACCACACTGTACAACTACATATCAACAATATAGGGAGGCCTCACCAACACTACTCACGCCATTGACACAACTTGTATCTTTCCAATACTTAGGGAGTCTGCTGAAAAAGAACTACAGAAATGTTAACCAAAAAATATATTTTCTTTTTTAAATACAAGAAGTAGTCTAAGGAGGTCATCTTCATCCAGGGTACGGGCACGCTTTTTGTCGAAACCGGAATCTTGAAGTATGTTACTTAGCTTTTCTTCCATTGCTGAGATACCAGTCGATTCACAATTAATGGTTTCGGGATTTGGACATAATCCTTTGGCACTGCAAGCTTCCATGTATACTTTGCGTAAGTGAGCAGCTATTGATTTACCGGCAAAGTTGGCACCGATCGTCTTGTTTTTACGCGCAAACACAAGACGTAATAGTCCGTCCCATTCTGTAGGCATTACAGGTGGTAATGGGTGCCTAGGTTCAATCCGGACAACAGCTGAATCCACACGTGGTGGAGGACGAAAACTGTTTCTGCTGATCTGTAGGGATTAACGAAAAGAAGGATTTCAGGGGGAATTTGGAGCACTTTATGGAAAAGAAGTCTATTGGAGCTATGTGGCGTTTATTGTAGGACAGGTGTATAAAAAGTGGAATATGCAACATTTTTTTGTACCTACAAGGACTTTGTATACTAAGATTTACAGCGTAGTTCAACCACACACTAATCCTCTGGTAATGTTTGGAAGTCTTTTGAATAGCGAGGAGTAGCGCTGGGCCCATCAGTTTATGTGCCTCTGTTGAATTGCCTGGTGGTTAGAAATATGGAAACTGTATTGACGACTTTACCCAAAGAGTTAAAGTCAGAATTACAAGGGAAACGTAGTGAGGGCCTGGATAAGAATTTACAGGTCTCCCACGGAAGTATGTACTAGTCAGTTCCGTGTGAAGGCCATGGAGGTCACGTGTAGACAAGTGAATGACTTCAGGATTTGGTTTTTAGGAGCTATAATTCCTTTACTTGCTTCAGAAGTTGCAAATAATTTCAGACTCTGGAAAAAGGCCATTTAGTGGACAGTCGTCTTTGATTAAGCGGGAGACTTAAACATTCAAATCACTATTTAAGACAAGCTTAAGGTAATTCCCGAAGGATAACCAATAAGCTGTCTTATTTCATTAACCTTTTACTTTTTGTGCTGTGCTTTTTTGATATCCATCTACCATTGTTACCCACATGATGAAACCAACAGCTGAGAACAGTTTAAATAAACCACAGAAATCCTTTCATATTTCCGTTTAAGGGTTTCCTATAAAATTGAAAGGGTGAAAGTGAATTTCCAGAGCCCATCACCAAACTAATATACATGGAGAGGTTACCTAGAATACGATTATGTAGCTCTGTTTGCTTGTGTATTGCACTTTAAGTCAAAGGCTCGGGTAGTCGATCCTGAACACAATCGTCTGCATCATTCTGGGCGGTCGGGCAGTATTGCTTCTCTTACATAAAATGTGGAACGAAAATTGATTGGAAAGGTCAACTCAATTACCCCCAACTTATCGCACCTGCTGCATCATGAACCACATATTCAAACCACTCAGTCTACTATCATGTTACTATTATTTCTGCTTCATTTTTATCATCTTTAGATTTTTAACTATCTTTACCTTCATCATTTGAAATCACAATCTATCAGTACCGTCTTAAGAGTCAGCAAATAATTCCTCCCAGTGTGTTGTCTAAAACGACTATTCTGACATCATACTGTGAAGTGCTACAAATAGCCTCCCCATCGTTTATCTCGAAAGGTATTTTTATTTATGGATATTCTGGGGACTTGTGATATCACTATCTTACTCAACTGTATCTCTGTTAACAGTTGTTTATATTCTGTCACAATAGATTATATTGGAGTGAGAAGCAGTGAGTTGGAGAAGCGTTGCTTTTTCATCATCTCTTCCCACATACAGCCTAGATCCAATGAAAAACCGGTTCTACCATTAGCTGAGTGACCCCAACCGAGTGTCGTCGATATTGTCAGATATTGTGCTTGCTATCTGGGGATTTGAATGAAGAGTTGGATATCTTTTCTTGATCTCCATAATGTATCAAGTTTGTGTTTGAAGTGAATATATATATCAGGTTCTTCTCAGCAAAAGCTAGCAACGACGTGACTTATGTACTTGTTATTAACTTTATATTAGTGAACATGAAGCTAAGATCCATCTTTAGTTTGTGAGCTTGCAATGAGTTTAAACTGACTGAGTTTTCAGTGTAGAACTTTGCATAAAAACAGAGTAGTTCAAGTTGCCACACTCCTTAAGCATATTATGGTAGACAAAAAAATCAAAAACAACTATAATGAACGTAAATGTACGGAAAAAAAGGATCAGGATCTAATGTATCTGGGAGATTGCAAAGAATGAATCCGTGTCAATGAGAACAATTTCTCGCCATATCACCGGTAGTCTCAAACCATTTTTTTAGCGTTAGAAAGTCTACACCTCTATACGTGGGCAAAGGTTCATGGATTGACGGCTTGATTGGATTTTACCATACCTAAGTCTTTTCCAACCTAATCCTATGTCAGCTGATATTATTTAGCGAGGAATGCGACGGTTCAGCATACGTAACACATGTCCTAGTTATCTCAGCCGACGCAGCTTCACAACCTCATCGATTAAATTTCCCTTCTTATCTAATGCGAGACCTATCCTCAATATTACTCACCATACTACACCACCTAACAAGGGAGATAGGATACAAACACCCTTGGTTAGAGATAGCTGGCTTCTTTAAGTCTTCCATTTTCAGCGTTCATGTCTTAGCCATAAAGAAGGAAGAAGTGAGCCGCTGAGCAGTACACATTCGTTGAGTGATGCTTAGATATCACGTCTAAGCCAGAGATGGCGTAAGTTGGCAAGTGCCACACCAGCCTTTTGTATCCTTTGCTGAGATTTCGTCAGCAATCAGCCTGTTGGTGGCTGATGTAACTTCCGAAATACGTGAAGTGGTCAACACGCTCTGCCACTTTACTTCTTATCTTTAAGCTAAGAGTCGACGTAGTCTTATCTTGTAGCACCGTCTTACATTTGACAAGAACGAATAATATGCCCAACATTCTGCATGCTGTCCGCATCTCCACCTAGAAGAAATATACCATCTGCATATTCTGAGCCAACGAGACTACTTCCTGGTAACAAGTCAATCTCTAAGTCGCTAAAGTCAGTTAGGGTCAATTCGCTTTCGCTGACTTACACCATCTCTGGCGTAGGCGTGACATCCGGTTATCAACCAAGGGACGTGTGTACTGCTCATCAGTTCGCTCCGTCCTTCTCTATGGCTCTGAAACATGGCCAATACGCGTTGAAGACATGAAAAGGTTGACTGCTTTCGATCATAGATGTCTGCGATCTCTGTCTCACGTTAGGTGGTTTCACAAGATAAGTAATGTTGACGTTAGGCGTAGAGTGTTGGGCAAAGAGGGAAAATCAATCGACGAGGCTATAAAGTTACATAGACTAAGATGGCTAGGTCACGTGCTGCGCATGCCTAACCACCGCCTCCCCCGACGGGCTTTGCTAGCTGATATAGGTTCAGGTTGGAAAAGAGCCAGTGGTGGCCAAACAAAAGCATGGCCTCATCAATCCATGAAATCCTTGACAGTTAAACTGAGTCAGGTAGGGAGATGCAGACTTCCGGGTTGGGGCCCTCGGGACTCTAGGAATCAATGGCTGGAGACAGTAGGTGACATGGCTCAAAATCGTTGTCAATGGCGCAGATGTATTCAGTCTCTGTAATCTTTCATATTCCTTTCTACAATTACCCATTCTGTTTCACTCTTATATTTGTCAAACTCTATTGATTTTCTTCACTCATCTTCTTGTCTACCTTGTGTGCCAATTGGAACGTGGCAACTCGAACTGCTGCACTTCGGTGCCAAGTTCTATGTTGAATCCAGACAGACAGACCATCAGTACATCTATAATGAAATCAAAGATAAATGAAGACGGTGGGAATCCCTGACGAACTCTACTGGTCTTCATTTCTCCAAATGAAAAATTATGAGATAATTACTATCAATTTGTAAACGAAAGACTATGATCATACAAATAAGCCGTTTTTCTCCTTAGTTCGCTCATTCTATCGCTGGTCTGCAATACAACCATATTTTAATGTCTACCTTTTTGCGAACAAGTTCGGAAACTGATTATCCACTTTGTTTTAAAGGCATTCAACGGACTTATAAAATGTTAAGAACAAGTAACAGCTTCAGATTCGCTTTTCGACTCATAGTCTGTCCAGTTAAATAGCACATGTGGTTATCTAGTAGCACTTAGATACGAGTTTTCCCTGACTATTTAAGTTTGGTTTAAGAATAAAAGAATGTGTCATTTCGTCATGCAACAATAAAATATTCGATATACTAAAGGATCACGTTATATAGCTTGAAGTAAACTTCATCACATACATAAATTACATCTTAATATGAACACGCAAACAGAAAACTTAAAATACAGACAAATGCATTATATTGAGATTAGTCAGATGTTTTGACCTGTTAGATAAGCCGTATTGGGGAGTGCTTCTGATAGTCTGACTAGAAAAGTTCAGATAATATACTATATATTATCCGGAAATAGTTTTTCTTTTATTATTCTAACCAGTGCCTAAGTTTTGTTAAGATTCCAAGTCAGCCGCATCTGTGAAGTACTACGGAGCTATGGGCAATGTTTGGCTTCGGCGGTACTCATCTATGAAACTGTATGAGATTAAAACCATCATGCTGTGAGGCGACCATTCCGCTATTTAGCCCCAAAGTATGAGTTCAATGACTCAAAATTTCAAACTGTCTCGGATTTGTGATATAAAGCAACCAACAGTTAGTATGTCTTCATACCTTATTTTTAGAGGAGTATGCCACAACCTCGCATTAGGAATTCAGGAAATATGTCGAGAAACTAGTAATTAATGAACAAAAAATTCAAATTATGACTGAACATAGTGAGAACACACTGAACAAGACGAAGTGACGTCATTTATCTCAATTTTGATCACGAGCTGACATCAGTTAGAGAACCACTGGAAAACCAGGGAGTACTGGACAGCCGTTTCTTCCTATTGCTTGGGTCTCTGTCAATAACCCGTGTGAAGGAGTCGAGTGCTAGGTTAGGAAAAGAGGGGGAATCAATCGACGAGGCTGTGAAATTACATCGACTGACATGGTTAGGACATGTGTTACGTATGCCTAGTCATCGTCTTCCTCGACAACAGGAAATGTTAGCTGACATAGGGTCAGGCTGGAAAAGAGCTAGCGGAGGTCAAACAAAAGCATGGCACCAGTCGATGAAATCCACAACAGTTAGTCTAATCCACGTAGGAAGATGAAGACTTCCTGGTTGGAGTCCTCAGGACGGTAAAAACCAATGGCTGGAAACAATTGATGATTTGAGAAAATTAAAACAATTAGTCCCTTTGATAAATTTGAATAAGGCATTAAGAAGACAAATTTCGCGAGATGATATCATTTCGTAGTTTCTTTACAACCGCTTTACAACTAACATGGTTAACAATGATAAAATAAAGTTCATGAAAATTACTCAGTTAAATAAAAACAAAAGTACATACTAATGACCAATCATATTAAGATAGGTCATGCAGTCCAGGGTAGGCGAAGATTGAAGTCTATTGATTTTTGTACACACAGTTTAGGCTGTATGTGATTAATCCAAAGTGCTTCCATCACCTTCAATAACCTTGAATTAGAGTCATGTGAAATAATTGTGAAACAGTCATTAATATTGATTTTGTGACCAGACATTAATAAGTGTTTTGCAATGGATGATGCTGGATTTCTACTAAGATTAATCGCGTTAGGATTTTCGATATGATTTACTAGCCATTTTGGAACATGTTCTTGTCGACGACATTGGAACATTCTGTTAGTTCTACCTATATAGGTGTCACCGCAACTGCAGGTGAACTTGTAGATACAGTTTGAAGTAGAGTCCACAGAATTTCGTCCTTTAATCGTAGGTACAGGGATCGAAAATGTTCGGCAAGTGAGAAAAAGAGATGCGGCGTAGAATGTGCGTTTGATGGCTGACCGAAGTCTTTGAGCTGTCAACTGTACAATCTGGTCGCCCTTGAATGGTAGATTAATAAAGATAGCTTTCTTTGGTACAGAAGCTTTCTTTTCAAGATGCGGTCTATCCTTACCGTGACAATTGATGAAGTTTTCTGGATAACCATTGGCTAGTAAAACTGAATGTATATGTCGAAGCTCATCCATCAATGTGTCACTCGTACATATTTTTCGAGCCCTTGAGAACAAACATTTCACCAGGGAACGTTTATACTGGATAGGAACAAAACTGGTAAAATGGAGATATTGTCCACTGCACGTCTGTTTATGAAAAATAGAGCGCTGAATCGTTCCATCATTTCTCTCATAGTCAAACAGACGTAGAGTGGACAATATCTTCATTTTACCAGTTTTGTTCCTATCCAGTATAAACGTTCCCTGGTGAAATGTTTGTTCTCAAGGGCTCGAAAAATATGTACGAGTGACACATTGATGGATGAGCTTCGACATATACATTCAGTTTTACTAGCCAATGGTTATCCAGAAAACTTCATCAATTGTCACGGTAAGGATAGACCGCATCTTGAAAAGAAAGCTTCTGTACCAAAGAAGGCTATCTTTATTAACCTACCATTCAAGGGCGACCAGATTGTACAGTTGACAGCTCAAAGACTTCGGTCAGCCATCAAACGCACATTCTACGCCGCATCTCTTTTTCTCACTTGCCGAACATTTTCGATCCCTGTACCTACGATTAAAGGACGAAATTCTGTGGACTCTACTTCAAACTGTATCTACAAGTTCACCTGCAGTTGCGGTGACACCTATATAGGTAGAACTAACAGAATGTTCCAATGTCGTCGACAAGAACATGTTCCAAAATGGCTAGTAAATCATATCGAAAATCCTAACGCGATTAATCTTAGTAGAAATCCAGCATCATCCATTGCAAAACACTTATTAATGTCTGGTCACAAAATCAATATTAATGACTGTTTCACAATTATTTCACATGACTCTAATTCAAGGTTATTGAAGGTGATGGAAGCACTTTGGATTAATCACATACAGCCTATGGTTGGAAACAATTGGTGACATGGCTCAAAATCGTTCTCAGTGGCGCAGATGCATCCACTCCCTGTGACTTATGATCTTCAATGAAACTGTTTTGTATTTCTTTATTACTCCTTTGTCTCACACCTCTGCTCACTGTTTCTATTATGCTTTCCTTGTACTTTCTTCTCTTGCTTCACGTGCTACACGGAATGTGGCGACTTGAACTTCCGCACATTTGTGCAAAGTTCTATGTCGAAAACAGACAGACAGACAGACATACAGCCTAAACTGTGTGTACAAAAATCAATAGACTTCAATCTTCGCCTACCCTGGACTGCATGACCTATCTTAATATGATTGGTCATTAGTATGTACTTTTGTTTTTATTTAACTGAGTAATTTTCATGAACTTTATTTTATCATTGTTAACCATGTTAGTTGTAAAGCGGTTGTAAAGAAACTACGAAATGATATCATCTCGCGAAATTTGTCTTCTTAATGCCTTATTCAAATTGATGATTTGGCTCAAAATCGTTCTCAATGACGCAGATGCATCCACTCCCTGTGACTTATGATTTCCAATGAAACTATATTGCTCTTTTCTGTCACCTCTGTTTACTGTCTCTATTATGCATTTTTTCTACTTTCTTCTCTTGTTTTGTGTGCTACAAGGAGTGTGGTGACTTGAACTGCTGCACATCGGTGCAAAGTTCGATATCGAAAAAACAGACAGACTCTGTCACTACTTACCCGCCAGGGTCCGAACCGCGGATCTGTCGGTTGCAAGGCGAGCTCGTAGACCATTCAGCAACTGGGACCCGATCCAGTCGCCCGTGAATTCCAACTTCTACTAGTTCATGATTTTATTGTGACCACTAGCCAATGTTATCGACGAGTATTTGTCCTCCCGCCTGACATGGTGGGGCCCCTGGTTTTCTAACTGATGCCAGCTGGTGATCAATTTTGGAACATACCAAATCCCTACATACTAATTCTTGGAGGCGTTATTTATTTCATTGGTTCTTGTCAGCTGCATACATTAATAAACAATTTAATATCAGTATACAAAGTACTTAAATTGTTTATGGCTGCAGGCAACTGACAAGAATCAACCAAACGAATGATGTCATTTTATCCTGCTCAATACGCCCTTTCTGTTTTGTTTCAGTTTACCAAATAAAATAATTGTATGAAAGTAAATTGTTAGATTTTGGGGGATGGAAGCCAAGGACTATGCACTAAATTTTACATAAAGTGACTATGAGGTGAAATAACTCAGTTAAAAACATACTTTCATTAACTGTTCAATTTTGAAATGGAACTGAGAAAATGCTGACAGACGACAGTACACTTTATCCCCAGGTTTAGCTATAAGGCGATCGGCGAATTCCTTTTGCACCATAACTACTGCTGCTCTGAAACTACGACCAGCATGAACCAATCGTTGTATAAATGGTGAGGAAATCTGGTACGGTAAATTTGCTACGCATAGATCGAATTTCGGCCATGAACTTGCCTTGACTGCATCTCCAACAAGAATTTCTAGCTTGGATCGGTTTGGCCTGAGTATGGATTCATAAAAAGAATAGCCCTGAAGTCTACATTTTCTTTTAAAAATGGAATTATATGTTTATAGAAAATAACAATAATATATTAGGCCTTAAATGCTTGACATGGGTGTAGAAAAGATATTCATAAAAATGTAGCAGATACATGAAGTGTCTACCTCAAGAATAAGTACAAAACTGATGACTACTTGGTAATGTTTACTTAAACTGAATTCAAATAATCATAGATAACAGTTTTTAACACTAAAAACTCTTGACAATCAACTCATTGTTTTCAATCTAACCCTTGAACAACATTATCTTTCCAACAGCGAACCAAGAAATAAACTACATATTATTTAGGTCTTGTAAGTGTATCGATATATCTAATGTAAAATACATTGTACCAACAGTGATATTTTATTTGAAAGTCTCAATGTATCTGAAAAAATTTGTTCAATCCTCTTTTTAGCCAGTAATCAAAGGTGACAGTGACCTCCAGTGACTGAGTAAATTAGAGAAAGGATTACTAGAAGGTTTCTTCTTAAACCTTTGAAACAGTCATAGGAGTTGAAAACTACAAAAAAATACATAACAAAATTATGTTACAACGACACCAATATTGTCACTGACTTAAGGCTGTCATATGAAAAATCAATACACAAACAAACTTGTGTGTATAAATATAGCCTGATTTTAGCATATTTGAAACGTTTACCTATGTAAACGACTATGAAACATGGGAACGTTATATGATAACTACCAGTGGAATACACAACCTTTGGGACTTACCATTTAGCTACTTGAAACCTAATCATCTTCGTTGAAAAACTGGTGTGACACTTCAGTCTCAAATTTATATAATGGCACTGACAAAAAGTACTAATAAATGAACCACGTTTCATGCATAATAACACCCTACACCCGAGAGAAGAAATAATGCAACCTAGTGATAAAGCCAGGTATCTTGATATATGACATCTCCCAATATATACAACAGGTACATTTGTCATATACCTGCTTCAAACTCACGAGGTTTGGACACGCTTCTGTAATTCAGAAACCATTCTCGGATCAATTTCAAAGGCGTAGACTTTTCTTCCTTTCTCCAAGAGTTTAATGGTCAGGTTACCAGTTCCAGAACCGATTTCTAAGACAGAGTCCGTAGACTTTATACCAGCCTTTTCAATCATTGTATTAATTACAAGAGGATTTTTTAAGATGTGTTGACCTTTGTTTTTCTGAAACTTAATGCCTCCAGTTTTCATGGCCAAACCAGATGAATCACATTTTGGTTTCACCATCGCCGTAACGTGTACATCCAAAAAGTTGTTGAGGTCAAATATTTCACCTTCAAATGATTGAACATGATAGTGTGAACTAAGTTGACTTCTAAGTGTTTACCTCTTGACTGTAAGGCTGATTTTACTGGTTTTCCGCGACTAGTTTTCGTTTTTATGAATAATGCGTTATGAATTCGCAAGGCTATGAAACCATGAGAAAAAGAGAGAGGAAAAATCCGATGTACGAAACAAGCCGTCAGTATGCCTGTGTGTGGAAAAGACTACTCGCTGAAGTGGATGCTTTTGTTAAGTTGTGCTTTCTGCTCTAAAGAGTTTATCTGAGAGGCTTTGAATGTCGTCCTTTCAAACATCTTCAGAATCATAAGGTCGGGTAAATATTCAGTATTCTTTTGGAGAGTTGGTGTAAATCCTAGCCTTTTTTCCTGTTAAACAAAAGACTCCAAATCTTTGAAGGGTCTCATTTCAGATAAAATATTCAAAAGGCATCTGCAGCCAAGCTGAACGTAATAGGAGGTTGATTTATCTGCAAGGAGAGATCCGCTTCTAAGAATTATCAATTCAGTTTCGCCTGGTAATGCTCTAGGTGGATGCTAAATTCTCCAATAACTACCTTGAGGAGAGTATGGATAGAGTATACAGAACAGGTAAACAAAACAAATGCAAGGTGGAGCAAGAAGATGAGTAATACAAGAAGAGAAAGAGGAAAAAATAACGAAATAGATATAAAGTTGGAAAAATAAGTTAGAACAAAACGGTAGGAGATTTGGTATATTTTTAATATTAGTAAAGCACGCCTTATAACTGATATATCTCCTCTGCAGATTTGTTAAAACACTTCACTATGCAAATTCCAGCTTATTCCTGGATCCAGCAATTGGGGGAGTGGTAGCTACTTTGGCCTGAAGTCAGTTGTTTAATTACACAGGTTGCAGCGAGGAAATTTATTCTTTTCTTCGAAATTATTACCTAGGCTCTACAATCAAAAGTAGGCTAAAAATGATGGAGACGTTGGAGGAAAATCCCCGGTGAATGGTCATGGTGAACACTTCACTTCCGAGGAGAGGTTTGAATAGGTATTGGCTCATGTATTTAAGGTTTACTCAGGAGCAGATGAATGTATCGATTTCAAGAGGTGCCCCATTACTGAGCCATGGAAGCTTCGCTTCTCTCGTATTTAACTGGGCTGGGAAGAGGCAGAGTAGTAGTGCAACTTACAAGCGGATGTATGGTACAGCAAAAGTAAACGGCTCCACAAAAGCAAGAGAACTTAGATACCCACATCAATGTGACCCAACGCATATTCATTTCCTCGCTAACTAGCTTCCGGTGGGAAAATGATATTCGGAGACTGCTGGTGAAATATATTTTACTTAGTGGCTTTAGAAGCTGCTTCTTGAGAGCCTCTATCTGAAAGCCACATTTTCATTGTCAGTTCAGCGGTCAAAAAGTTTAAGGAGTGACCCAGGCTTATTTAATAGCCTCAATTGGTTTCACATACTTCCCTATGAATTTCCATAGGAAAACACTTTTTGGAATGTCTTAGGATTAAACTACAACACCGGAGATGCTTCAAAAACTGATTTCTTCGCTGCCCTTGAATCATTACTCAAATCATCAAACTTGAACGAGGAAACACAGGAAGAGATACGCCAAACAATTGTACCAATGGTCAAACAGAAAAGACAACACACACAACTCAACGCTCAAGAACTAATGGCCCTCAAAAAGCTGAAAAATAGGAAAGACATCGTCATTCTACCAGCCGACAAAGGAAGAACAACAGTAGTCATGGACAGAGAGGAATACACCAAGAAAGCTGAAGAACTACTTGAAGATGAGGATGTATATCAACAACTCCCAACAAATCCCATACAAACATTGGATTACCGCATCCAAAGGACCTTAAACAAGCTCACCAAAACTGGACAGATCACAAAACAAGACCAGTGGCGAATGAAGTCCAATGGACCAGTCCTACCTCGATTCTACGGCAGACCCAAAATACACAAGGCAAATATCCCGTTGCGACCAACTGTATCACTCCCAGGGACTCCAACATATAATTTATCCAAAGAATTATACAGAAAACTAAAACACCCAACGGAATCTTGCGATCACTTCATTAACTCTGCTATCCAATTCCTAGAGAAAATCAGAGAAATCCAAATAGATAAATAAATAAATAAGTTTATTCTCATGATGCAGTACATGAGGGACACCAGTTTACAGGCATCATCAAATTGTTGCAGAAATAGGACCATATTATTCAGTCACAATTTACAGTCGATAGCAAAATATGTTTAACATGTACACTGGAGATTATACATACACTAGGTAAATGTTAATCCCAATAGTATAAAACATCCTTTTCACTTATGTACAATCGTTTCTGTGCATAGTTGGAAAAATCCGCTAGATTGTCAGTGAGTGCAACATATCAGGAAATACAGAAGTATTGTCTTCGCATTAACAAAAAAACCAGGTCTTTGGTGGATGGGTTATAAGTGCCTGGGAAAAAAATAAAGCTTGAAGTCAGTTTTCATACATAATTTTGTTGTGTACAGAATTCTTGAATTATAGTTCATTGTTGTGTTATTTGGAAACCAGTGATTTGCTTATCTCATTTGATCTGCAATGTCATTGTTGGGAGCAAAATACATCAGCTTTGGACGCAATAATTAATGGATTTCTACTGCTTGTGGGTATTTACTTCTCATGAGGAGGGTTTTTGAATTTTAGTTGTTCCGACAGGAGTTGTGGACATTAACTGCTCAGCAACATTACGGATATAAGTTCATCACATTATCTTAGGAAAGTTGGGTTGTAGTTGGTGAGGTATATATGATGCCCAACGAGCGTACATCTGTCCATGTGATGTTGTGGTGAGTTATATCTTTTTCATGTCGTCGGTTTATGTCCGTTTTATTCCACTTATTGTGTTGGGTAGAAGTTTTACAAACGAAACTTCTTGTCCGTTTGAGGGTAAGTATCTTAATCGTTAATGTTTTATCTAAAATTATAAATAAAGGCAAAAAACAACAGGTGTAGTATTTAAGCTTATACATTAAATGGATGAACAAGATGAACAAGAAATGATGGTATCCTTCGACGTGACAGCATTATATACCTCCATCGGACAAAACTAGCAAAGGAAACCATGGAGCAATTACTTAGCAACGAAGAACAGCTTCCAAAACAATGAAAAATGCAACACACAAGCTGGATGGAATGCATTAATCTATACCTAACAACATAACCTCGCCAGATACTAGCTTACTAGTTTTCTAGCCGGTCCCAAGCCAGGGTAAAGAGGGAGGGTTGGGGCGTGGTGCTAGCAACTCCACCCCTGTAAAACAACCAAATCGCCACCGAAACTTCAACGCACAAATATATTAAAAATTCTAAAAACACAAACAATAGCCATATTTTTCGCTGGAATCGGGGAAGTGAAATGACGCAGGCTAATGAAAGCCTTCGGGAAGCCAGTCAGTCGATATGTCTTCTTTCGATGAAAGCAAAAGTAAGGATGGGTACCTGGAATGTTCGTACAATGTACGAAACTGGAAAGGCTGTCCAGATAGCCGCTGAAATGAAAAGGTACAGAATAGAAGTGTTGGGAATCCGCGAAAGCAGATGGAACGGAACTGGAAGGTGCCAACTACCAACTGGGGAGACAATAATCTTTTCCGGCCACCCAGAGGACAACCATGAGCACACCGAGGGAGTGGCCATCATGATGTCACCAACAGCAGCCAAAGCTCTCATGCAGTGGGAACCAATCTCCTCCAGGATAATGACAGCCAGGTTCAACTCAAAAGGAAGGAAAGTTACAGTCATTCAATGCTATGCACCTACAAACGTCTCAGAACAAGAGAAGAAGGAGGTGTTCTACAGACAACTACAAGCAATAATGGACAACGTCCCAAATGGCGATATCAAAATCCTGATGGGCGACATGAATGCGAAGCTGGGAGGAGACACCACATGAAGAGAACTCACCATGGGTCGTGAGGCCCTCGGCAAAATGAACGACAATAGTGAACTCTTCTCAGACTTCTGCGCCTTCAATGATTTGGTGATTGGCGGTAGTGTGTTCAAACACAAGGATATACACAAGACGACATGGATTTCACCAGATGGAAACACCAAGAACCAAATAGACTTCATCTCAATTTCAAGAAAGCGGAGACGGAGCCTACTGGACACAAGGTCAGGGAGAGGAGCAGATGTGGGTTCAGACCACTATCTAGTACAAGGGACATTCAAGGCGAAACTAAAAGCCTCGAGGATAGCTGGAGATAGACCACAATACAAGTTCAACACTCAATTACTGAAGGACACAACCACAAAAGACACTTCCACTGCAACTGTCAGAGCAAAGCAGGAAACACTACGCGACATCACTGAAGAATCATGCGTGGAAGAACATTGGAAGTCTCTGAAGGCGACTCTCAACGAAACGTGTTCAACGGTTCTAGGAAGAGAGAAGGGACAAGACAAGGAATAGCTCTCAACGGACACTTGGAAATTAATAGAAGAGAGGAGAATGGTGAAAGAGAAAATGATTCAGTGCAGGGACGGACAGGAGAAAGAGACGACGGGCTCAACTTACAAAGCATTGGACAAAGAAGTGAAGAAGAACAGATTGAGCAATGGGCGGACCACTTCGAAGGACTCTTGAACCGACCATCACCTGCAACCCGTCCACAAATACCAACAACAGCGCGCACACAACTGCAAGTTGAGACCAATCCTCCAACGAGAGCTGAAGTCTTGAATGCAATCAAGCTCCTGAAAGCTGGAAAAGCAGCCGGACCAGATGGAATACCCCCTGAAGCACTGAAAGCGGATCCAGAGACAACAGCAGACATGCTGACCCCATTATTGCAAAAGGTCTGGAAGGAGGGAAAGGTGCCTGCTGACTGGAGGAACGGTTACCTCGTAAAACTACCAAAGAAGGGCAACTTAAGGCCCACTCTGCAAGAACTGGCGAGGAATCATGCTCCTATCGACGCCAAGTAAAATCCTGAGTCCCATCATCCTGGAGAGA